CAATGTGCAATTCATGATAATGAAGTTGGCAATAATGTTCATTATTGCTGTAGTGTAAAAAATATGCGTATTATTATCACCGACAACATTATCATATATATTGTCTCTAGAAACGAAAAATGATTTTTTGGATAATTTTAAATTATTTGAAAAAGCAAAATTTTAGCTAAAAAAAAATATGGAACATAAAAAAACACCATAGCACAAACAGGGACGTGACCAAGACGGGAATGAGAGGCTGAAACCCACCCACGGAAGGACTGTATATATGTTTATTAGTAATGCATCATGGGTAAAGAAAGTCGATTCAGCATTTAATCCCCAACTTAGCAGTCGTCCCATTATTAAGTCAATTTCTGGTTACGGAACTGCACTCAGTTGTTTAGAAAGCTGTACTAAAATTCCTTAAACAAGAAATGATCTTTAAACCACCATCAGTTCTGTTAAAATAGAACAACCGACTAGATATTAAAAGATATTCGAGTACACTTAATGGAAGAAAATTGATAAGTAACTTAACCTATTTAGCTTAGCCATTTTTAAAGTATAAACAGCCTTTAATTTTGTTAATATTGATAAATCTTTCCCCACTCCTCTTTTATATACTTTTTCTGTTTTTAAGAATATTAACATCAATTGGTCTGGAAATGTTCTATTAATTTATATTAGTTATTCTATATATATAACTATATACATACAATTTATAGTTTTGACAGTAACACGTACATCGGCTCTTTGGTAATTTCTAAATTTTATGACTAATATATTTTTGTACTTAAATTTGTTAAATTTTATTTGGAATATTCTCGATTATTTCCTTGGAAAATTTTTTCTCAAAATTTTTGTATATAAATTGTATTTTATTTGATTGGTTGATCGCAGTGGCAGGCCATTAGACAACTTCCATGTCCCTATATCAGCGATTTTTATAGAAGGATAAAAACTAAATCTATCCCGCCGAATTTAGATAATTCAATAGGTCTTTCGTCTTCACCGATGAACAGTCTGATAAACCATCAAAGAAGTATCTTTCTAAGAATCTATATCTTCTGGGTGCCAAAGCCGGACATTCACAGAGAAAATGTATTATGCAGTAAGCCTTGCAGTGTTCACGCGGTCTCTTGATGAGTTCCCTAGATCTATTTTTAGTTGTTTTCGTTGATAAAAAAATCTTATATTACTTTAGCTAACTACCTTTATACATCACCAGAAGAAAACATACTTTACTAAAATGATTAATATTGTTCAAATCAAAATTAATAATATTCTAGTATATATCAATATTATTCAATGTAAGGTCCTTATATGAAAATTTGTCTTTTATTGGTGCACAAAACTATCTGACATATATAATACCTACATGCTCATACGTACACCACTACTTTCGTCTATGATTTCACTTCTCATTATAAAATATTACTTCAGACACACTGTTAGGAGGTGGCATCGCTCTATATATTCAATCGAAAGCAATCGATTGTTTTCATCTAAAAAATATATACGTATAGAGTTTCCGATATCTCCGATACCAGATTCTATTGCGAACTAATTTTGGAAATAAAAGCTCGGTTCTTAAATATCACAAATTGTTGCATTACTTGAAAATAAAGCAAAAGCGTATTAACATAGCTTAGTGAAGCGAAAATAGTGTGAAGTGCTATTTAACTTCACTTTTATTATACAATATAAGGACCAAGGTATAAAAGCAAAGTATTCGTTAAGGCTGCAGTTGTTCAATGTTAATATAAATTCATAAATTAATTTTATTTCATTTGTGATTAAATACACAGATCACGATAAATATGGTATGTTAAAGCCCAATTATATTCCCGTAGTTAGTTTACAGTTGCTGTCACTTCAAGAAAAAAATTATATTTAAAAGAATGGTAAAAAATATAGTTAAACACGTTGATAAATATTGCTTTTTGAAGGGAAAAACTATCCTAGAAGTGAAAGGTTTTATGTAGACATGGTCGTTATTAAAAACTATGTTAAATTTATAGATTTTAAATTTATACAAATTTAAATAAAGCCTCTTTAGTGACAAAGCATTATTTTCTTCTTATTGTTAAGTACATAATATAATGATTAGCGTATTGTTATCGATAGATAAATATCGGTTAGAATTCATAACTGTTCAGTTAAACAAAGAAGATGTTGATAACGCTCTATGAAAAATGTAATCAGAGCAGACTGAAAACTAAGTAGATAGATAAATGTCGTCAATCTTGGTATGAGAAGAATAGATGCATAAAGACATTTGAAGAACGACAGAATAAGTTGGAAAAAAAAGATATGAACCAATTGAGATTCAATCTAGACTGTGACACTTACTAACTTTTTGAAAAAAAAAAAATTATATTTTAATTGCTGAATTTTTGTTTATTTTTCAGTTTCGTTTTAAAAACATAAAATTTTGTTTTTTCTCTAATAATAAACTTTTAATTGTGCATTATAAATTTAATTTAAAAATTTAATTAAATTGAAAAATTTATTTGTTAATATGTACAAACATTTATACAAACACAAATGTCGATATACATAAATACATTAATAATAAAAATAAAACACTTTTACAAAAAGTGCAGAAACACATTCAAACTTAAAATACTGATGTAAGCTAAAACAGAAATATTAAACTAAATAATTAAGCATATAAAATAGTTTCAATATTAATTAAATTCATTTACAACATTCAGTTAATTATTAATTAAAAAATTTTATAGAAAATTTTAATTTCATTAAATTTTTTTAAATTTCATATTTGTACAATAAAGTTTTTAGTATATTAAATAATTTTGTTTATTATATAAAATGGAAGAATTCTCTTTTATTTTTTATTTATTTAATATATTTTGTTTTTCTTTTTTTTTAAGAACTTGATAAAAAGTTAATGGAAGATATTTATGACAAGAAATTAATTATTTTATCTAAAATTAAAAATAAGAAATTAATGCATTTAATTTAGTTACTGAATCTTTAGTACACTTTCGGTATTTAAATTGAATATTTTAATTTTTGCTAAATAAAAAATAATTTATTTAATTAAATGCTTAATTTATGGCTTTTTCACATTTTCATCGTTTATTATATTTTTTAATATTTTCATATTTGTTTTTGTGTAGTTTTTATTTTCGGTTCTATATTTATTACTAATCAATTGTGTAATTGTATACTTAAAGAGTCTTTATTGGCTTTGTAGTCTTTATTGAAAATATATACACATTTTAATGTCTATGACAAACAAAAAAAAATATTTTTTTATGAAAATATACAAAAATGTTGAGGTTCTAAAGATATAAAAATAGTCTTTTTCGAGGTAATATAAAAAACAAAATTATAACAAGGAAATTTAAAAACAATATATATAGATATTAATCAAACAAAAAAAAAAAAACGAAAATATAAAAAAACAAAAATAAAAATTAAAAATAAAACAAAATTAAAGACAAAAAAAAAATAATAAGAGCATATGCAAAACATAAAATTATAAATATAAATATAAAAATGTAAAATTAAAACAAATTGTAAAAATTTAAACGTAATGTCACATTAAATGATATTACATTTTTAACTAACTGTCGATATTTTGGTATAATTAAAAATTTTTATACCTATAAAAATTAAAACATTATTAAAATAATAAAAATTTAAATAATATATAAAAATTAACATAAAAAAATATGCATAAAAAAATTTACAAAAAAAAATTATAAAAATACATAAAAACTATATAAAAATATAAAATAAAAATATTGAAAAATATTAAATACATATAAAAGTAAAATATATAAACAAAAAAATTTTATAAAAAAGAAAAATAAAATAAAAGACAAAAATGAAATAAATGAAAAACATATATAAATATAAAACAATTAAAAAAATTACAATAAAATAAAAAAATATTTGAAAGAAATACAAAAAAAAGTATGAAACACATCAAAAAAATAAAATCTAAAAATATTAAAAAAATCTATATAAATGAAAAAATGTATAAATGTAAAAAAAAATAAATTTTAATCGTTAAAAAACATTTTAATATAAAAAATTGAAAAAAAAGAAGTACTAAAAAAAAAATAAAAAATTAAAAAAATATATAATAAAATATAGAAGCTCTAAAGAAAAAACTTTGAAAAAACATAAAAAAAAATACAAAAAGGCAATGTAATAATAGATATACAAAAATTATATAAAAAAAAAATTAACTTTTTAAATAAATTTAAAAAGCTTTAAAAATAAAAATTGAAAAAAGTTTAAATAATAATAATAAAAAATTTCAATAAAAGAGCAGTTTCTGTATTTGCTGGTGTGGTGTGTTAGTGAAATGTACTGTTGTGTGGTGAGTATCGTGATGGAAATGCAATTGATCGACATGGTTTGGTTGAGTTTCTAACTAAATAATTTAAATAAGAAGATTGCATTTAAAGAGCTACATTTTTCAGCGAACTTAATAAAATGAAAGAAAATTTTTCATTTCGTCGTTTAAATCATACTTAAGTTAATGGCAATTTTTCGTTTGCTTAAATTTTAATATTTAATTTGTTAAAACTGTACAAAAACATATTTTCTATTTTATTGTAACTATTAAGCGAAGCAAGTTCAATAAGTGTAAATATAAAAGTCGTCGTTACCACAGCCGAGAGTGGTGAGTTTGTTCTTGCTGCATACTGCGAGACAGTTTGCTGCATACTCACCAAACTCTAAAGTAGCTAGCCTAAGTCATAAATGCAGTAAGAATGCATTTATTTACACAAACATAATTTTTTTTAAAATTAAAATTTCTCTTCATTATATACTTATATATATTAACATATTATTAATGTATACACTCATATTTCTTCATAATAATTACTTAAAAATATTATATATATGCGCTTTAATTGGTATTGTTTTACATACTAATAATCACTTTTTTGTAACGCTTACATACATACAAATTTAACAATTGTTTTTTTTTTAAATATATATAGATTATGTTTAATGTAATATAATAGCTTAACTTACATACGTACTCGTATATCTTGTTCGGCGACCATATTTTTACCTCGCTGTGTTGGTTGTGGTGGATGACGCGGTAGTGACACCATTGGATGACCCGCTGGCACACCACCGAGTGGTGAAATTGAAGGTGAACGAGTTGCTAATGGTGAAAGCGATGGTGAAAATGATGGTGACATGGCCGAAGATGTGCTAAAACCTCCCGGTGCATCATGACTAATTGGTGAACGTGGCAGCATATATTGTGGGCCGCCAACTACTACAGATGATGCGTTTGAATTGGATAAATGATGTGGTGCTGTTGGTGGCATGCGCACACCAACGCCACCACTGGCTAATACTGGCATATTAATGGAGCGTGGTGCTACATTTGTGAGCAGTGGCGGTGGTATATGAGGCTTAATACTACCAACTGAATGCGCTAATGATTGTTTGCTTTTAACACTTGATGAAGCACCACTGTTACCGCTATGTACAGACATCGTATCATCTTTCAGTCGTGCGATTTCTGAAAACACATGCGCTAATGGTTGATATTGTGGACCCCAATCCAGTAAATAGTCCCAATTATAACTGCCCGTTAATTCCTCTTCACTATGAACAATAGAGCTAAGTGAGCCATTCATAGAAGGACCCACATTGCCGCTACCAACTACAGGTACATCGCCGAAACTCATAACATGATCAACAGCTGCACCTATACTACCCGCTGTTGTCGCTGCTTCATCAGCACTGCTACCTCGATCTGAAGCCGCACCAGTAACGTCATTTAATTTGGCATATATTAAATTTGTTAAATCAGATTCAGCCGCAGCATCCTCGTCGAACATATGCAGCGTATCTACCATTGGCATTGGATGATGCATATGCGAATCTTTATTTGAACCACCTATGCTATCTGAACAACGACGTGATGAGTTTGAAGCTGCACCATTTGGATTGGCATCTCTGTCAACAATACCAAGACGTGCTAGATATTCTTGCGTATTTTGTACTGAAATATCAGATATGCGTCCATCATCGCTGCCACCCCCACTTGCACCACCACGATGATGTAGTGGGCCTTCATTTATCATGCGTATTTCTTCGTCTTCGCCGTCATCCTCTGCAGAACCTCGTCCACTAGAGCCAGATTGTTCTGAACCTGACAATTCTGAAGTAGTGGCAGCACCGGAATTTGAACTAGCTGCATGTGCGCCATAAGGTGGTATTTCATCATATTTTGGTGGAGCAAATTGACCAGCTGCTGTAGCTGGAACACCGCCACCGTTACCATTGCCACCAACACTACTAACCCCACCACGTATGGGTATTGTATCAAAAGCGCTTGGATCCACATAGCTATTTGAATTGCCCACAGTTTCAGTGCTAAGATGCGGTTTACTAACATTCCGAGGCTTACGGCTCCGCATGTGTACAAAAAGAAAAATACCTGCTGCAGCACAAAGCACTAATAAAAATGCTATAAGCAAGCCCAGTGCCCAATCAGTTATACCGCCGCCAGTTACACCACCACTGCTAGCTAAATTTGTGCCAGGATCTGCTAAAGGATCGAGGGATATTTCTACTACTGTCATATTAGTGAGAGAACCTTGTCTACCCGAACTTGCCGTTATGACTAAACTGATGTCTCGCCCATCATCAAAGTTGTCATCTAATTTCTTCTTAATAACAACTGCGCCAGTAGTGCGATTTACCTTGAAATATGCATGTTGTGAACTTAATTGGTATACTACTCTACCGTCCGGGCCTTTGTCACGATCAGTAGCCATAACTTGTCCAACTACATAACCCAACGGCAGATAACCAGTAGATGGTGAAGGCATGACGAAGCGATATGTACGTTCGGTAAATTGTGGAGCATATTCATCCTTAGACTCGATTTGTATGCGTACTTTCACAGTTGTCATTTTGCCGCCTGTGTCCATGCTGCGTAGAGTAAAATCATAGCGTCGTCGTTGCTCATAGTCGAAAACGGCATTTGTGGTAATTATTCCAGTTTGCACGTCAACTCGAAACAGTTTCCAGGATACATCATCTAAGCCAACAGCTTCATGATCCACGCTATAGTTAAGATGGCCGAAAGTGCCTCGATCGAGGTCTGTAGCACGTGCGGTAAAAATACTAGTACCAACCGGTTCATTTTCGCCCACAAATTCAATATATTCGCTAACCGGAAAGTGTGGTATATTGTCGTTCTCATCGCGCAGTGATATATGGAATGCTTGAAGACTGCATAGTGGCAAAGGTGCACTGTCACACGCACGTATTATTAAATCGTAGTGCATGGCACCAGTATCGTAATCTAACTTATTGTTAACAAAGAGCACACCGGACACTAAGTCAATGGTGAACATGCCCTCATCATTTCCGGAAGTGATTTCGTAAACAACTTCTGAATTGGGTGTGTTCTCTTGGTCGGCATCAACTGCAACAAGCTTGGCTATGGAATAACGCAATGGTGCTAATTCACTTATTTCGGCTTCATATTTGGAATTTTGTTCAAAGACGGGGACATTGTCATTTGTATCGTCCACAGTAATGAAAACATTGATGGCTGCAGTGGAATTGTCTGCCGATTGAGTCAGCAACTGTTGTGGTGAAGCGTGTTGATCGGTCATGACAAGTCGCAACTTAAAGAGATCATTACTTTCACGATCCAATTGTTTGACAAGTATAATCGCGGTTGATTGATAAACTTCAAAGTAATGATCTTCGTTACCGGAAACAATGTTAAACATAAGATTGCCAACACCAAAGTTGAAATTTGCATCCAGCACATCCTGACTAAATCGAAGTACGGCAGTGCCTAAATCGGCAGCTTCATTGATTTGTGCACGATACTGAGTCTGTAGGAATTGTGCGCGTCCACTGCCATGTGCGCTAGTTTGCACTCGTAGTACAGTGGAGCTTTTTAGTGGCGGCAAACCGCTATCCTGTGCCACAATCAAAACATATAAATCATCACGACCACTGTTACCAATAACATTTGCCAAACGACTAGTATTAACATAAACTGTACCACTAACTTCGTGTATACTGAATCCTGGTACTGCAGGGTCAATGCTGTAGTGTATTTGGGAATTACGACCCTCGGCGTCTGCATCTGTGGCATTTACTGTGATAAGCTCTATATCAGTTGTAATGGTAGTGTGCATATATTGATCAGGCAATGCGGCGAAGTATGCTGGTGGCTGTTGTGCCTGGAATTGCGGCGCATTATCGTTTTCATCGCCGACGCGTACTGTTAGTGTAGTGCGCGCCTCATGCGCTGCATCCGAAGCAATTATTTCCAATTGATATTCCTGTTGCTGTTCATAGTCCAGCTGACGTTTTAATATAATTTTGCCACTGTAACGATCAATGGCAAATATGGACTTATTGTTTGCGGAGCTGCCAGACGTGGAGGTGGCTGAGAAGTATTGTTGATTATCCGCTAAATCAGCACCAAATCGATATGTGAGCGCAGGATAAGTATCTACATCGTTGGCCGATATTGTGGTAATGACAGTGCCTAATTCAGTACCTAAAATTACAATGAGAAGAAAAATATTTGTTCATTTTTTGCATGTCATAAGATATTTTAAATAAATATGAGGGAAGCATCAGTTTGAAGAGAATTTTAATACATCAAGCATATCGTCAGTCAATGTGTAAAATTCCGCGCTTCATTTCGCAATTCGAGTAGATTAATTCTAATATTTTTCAAACGGTTACTTTACCATGCATACCAGTTAACTGACTACGCTCCACGTCTGCAGTGGAGTACAATCCACTGCAGTGCAATGCAGTCTATGTGCAATTTGCCAAGTGCGGTGTGCGGTGTACGGTGTGGCTACATATTTGTAGTCATATCATCGGTCTATGCAAATATATCTACTCGTGAAGTTCTTTTGCCCCAAGAGAGTGCAAATCAAATTAAAATTCCATTACACGGCAGACAAACAACATGGCAAACTTTATGCGTAGCAAAAATGTTGGAATAAGGAAATAATTTAAAGGAAAAAACAAAAAGTAAATAAATAAAACTAAAATGAAAAGAGGCATAACGTAACGTAATGTAACGTAACGAAACGAAACGAGTCAACAAAAAACAAAAACAAAAAAAAACAAAAAAACAGAAAAGGTAAGAGTAAATAGTCTAAACAAGTTCCCATCCTGGATACTTACCTTCACTCACGCTAATCACACTGTGTGGTGGAAATGTTGGTTGATTATCGTTTACGTCCACAATGTGTACACGTATCGTTGCAGTGCCTGTCATCTGTGGCACCCCCTCATCCGTTGCGATTACCTTTAGTTTATACGTGTCACGGATCTCGCGATCGAGCACAATATTCGTCTTGACAATGCCGCTGAATGCTGGCTCAATGACAAACGCGTTGTCATGATTACCGTCGACAATGTGGTATAAAATGCGCGAGTTCGCACCAGCATCCGCATCAAATGCGTTCACTTGTATGACGAATGTACCCTTGTTGTTGCCCTCCCACACTGTCGCCGAATATTGCTGTTGCGTGAAGTGTGGACTATTGTCATTCTCATCCTCTAGTTCAATGATCAAGTCAGCATAGCTATACAGTTGCGGTGTGCCTTCCGTATGTGCAACAAGCACAAAACGCATTTCATGTGGTTGCACAGGTGCTTCAGTATATGCCGACGACATTGCGTTACCAGCGTTGTCCTGTAATTCACGATTGCTACGTTGTTGCTTGTTGGCGGTTAAGTTACTTGAGTTGTCAAATTCTTTAAGTTGGACAACGCCAGCAATTGGCCCAACAGCAATACTTGCTGTATTCACATCAATAGTGTCAACGTAGTTCATGGCGCGACCACGATATGCGCCAGCAAACGACATTCCATCAATTCCAACACCAACATAACGTTCATAGTCGAGTTCTGCAGCATTATTTACTTTGATCTCACCGGTGGCAGCATCAACTGCTAAAGCGGCATCTTCATTACCCGCACCAAATGCATAGATCAGCTTCTGTCGTCGTCCATCGTTCCGTATTGCATTCACCTGCAGTACATGCGTGCCAGTTTTGATATTTTCACGCAACTTCACGCGATATGTATCATTCTGGAAACTTAAGATTGGTGCGCCCGCCGGCATTTCACCAATTCGTAGCTCTATCAAGCCGATTGAACTTTGTGCCGGATTTCCCTTGTCGTGTGCGTGTACGGCAAGGTGCAACAGACGACCCGACTCCCTGGCTAGACTTTGTGTGGCGCTTACAACGCCTGTATTTGGATTAATACGAAATTTGTTACGCATCGCTATATCATCTGTGTCGCCCAACGAGTACAACACTTCTCCATTCATGCCAAGATCGATATCACTCGCGCTGACCTGCAAGAGTGTTTGACCGGGTTGTATTAAAGCTGGTACTTGTGCGCGAAAAGGATAACTTTCGAATATCGGCTTGTTATCGTTCACATCGTCTATGATGATTTGTACTGGCACGCGTGCTGAACGTGAGTCATAACGGCCGCCATCGGTGGCAACAACCATAAAATTGTAAATGTGCTGCCGCTCACGATCGAGTGGACTGCAAATAAAATGAATATGAAAATGGAAAAAAATTAATAATTAAATAAATTTATTAAAGTGCATTGTAATCACAAATTAAGTAAAAATAAATTTTTAATAAGAAATAAAATAGCTTCTAAAAATAGAAGCTTCATTGTACCAAAATATCAGTTGAAGAAGAAAATAGAAGAGCCGCTGAACTAATAACAAAAGTCTATATGAGTACTAAATCCTAAAATATTATTTTTGTATAAAAAGGATTTAATTGGGTGCGATTCATTTTCCATCTCGAGATTTACTCGAGCGAATTATTAAACACTCGAGTTAAATTTATAATACTCTAGACATTTTTCCAGAGTAGCAAGATTTCCCTAAAATTACCAGCTGTTTTATATGACTTAATAATTTAAGTGTGATTTGATTTGATATATGTATTTATGATATTTATATATGCCTACAAACGCAACTACTAAAGTATTAGATTACTTTAAATACGTTCGTTTGGGGAATAAAATTTGACAGATCGAGAGTAAAATTAGACTGAATCCAGATTGACTAATCAAGCGTACTAGTAATCAATTTTTTCTAAGTCTTACCTTCATCGCTTTTATCCAATTTTTTACTAGACTAGCTTAATTTTTTAATTCCTACTATATATCTTTTTATATATATTTTAATTGTTTCTTTTTTTTTATTGTTTTTCATTCACTGTTTCGGTTTTATATAGTTTTATCTACTTCTCTCTATCATCTATCTTTCCATATACTACTTTGACTTTTTCATTATCTACTATCTTTTTTTCAATATCGCTGTTTCTCTTTATGTAACCTTGTTTCCCTTTCTTCAATTACTCCTGTCGGCACATTACTGCCATCTGTTGTCTCTCGCTAACTATTGTTTTCGTTTCTTCTGCTCTTCCTTCTGCTATATCTTTTTTATTATCTGAAGAGTCACAGATAAAGTGACTCTTCGTAACTATAATATTTTTTTAACTAATTTTTTTTAGACTTAAAGACTAAATTTGTTTTTAATTTTATTTAAAAAAAAAAAAAAATCAATTTAATTAAATTACTAAAATTAGACTATGTGATGTGATAGACTTTAATATACCCTTTGGCTATTTATCATTAACCACTTTTAAATTTATTATTTTTTTTGTTCTTTTGTTTTTTTTTTCTTTTTTTAAACTTAACTTATTGAAATCTTGAGTTTGGGTTCTTGAGCACTGATTGGCTTGTTGTTTGTTGGAAATGTTGCTCTGTAAGCCACTTCCGAAAATTACAAGTTCACTGTAATTTTATGAATTAAATCAGTCAACAAACAGAAGAGCCGTCAGTAACAGTATCTGTATCTGTTCTAGTGCCAACAAAGGGTCAGCAGCTGTTTTGAGCGAAGCTTCACACAAGTCGAGTCCTGAGATTCGAGCTGGAATTGTTTAGTTTGCATTAGCAAAACAACAGAAAATGCAATCGAGCTAACATTAAATCAGTTGGCAGTTGATCTTGTTGCATTTGCATGAGATGATCATCATGATCATATAATTATCATTAACATTATCTTCATTATTATACATTGCATTAACACAGCAGCAGTAACAACGACAGCAGCAAGAGCAATTGCAGCAGCAGCATCAGCAGCAGCAGCATCAGCTGCATCATCATCATCAGCAATGAAAATTAAATGGATAACATTTTTGTTGCTCAAGTTTACAAGTACTTTTTACTTTTTCTACTTCTTTGATTATTATTATTGTTGTTATTGCTGTTGCTGTTGCTGATGCATTTGTTGCTGTTGTTTTTGTTGTTGGTTTAGACAGACGACAACAGCAACATCACGAATTGTTTGTTACTCGTCAGTTGTTGTGCCATTTTTTTCTACGTTTTGATTTTTTTTTTATTTTTTTTTTGTTTTTTTTTGAAATATATTTTCTTTAGTTTGTTTTTGAGATTTTGGTTTTTTGTTGATTTTTTGCTTAAGTTTGAGGTCTTCAGTTTGATTATTGCCGACACAATCACTGAGAAGAAGAATGGACAAAAAGCATATAAAAAAGTTAAAAATTGGTACATGACAGCGGATCGCGATTGTTTAAATGGCAACACTGACATTACTACGGGTACTACTACCAATTCTTCCTAGGGCAGCTGAGAATAGTTTGATTGGTGTGCTTAACAAAATTTTTTCTACACCACCAATGTTCCGATATTCTCAAATGCTATTATTATAAATAATTTAAACACAAAAAAAAAAACAAAAAAAAAAGCAAGACTATGGAAGGATATAAACGCATAGTGATTTCTTGAAAGATGGACAAATGCGTGTTGAACTGGATGATCAAAATAAATTGGTGTTGGTGTTTGGAAGAAGAGAGAATGGTTATAGTGAATAGTTTTAATGCAAAAATTCCAAAATATTGGGTGCAAAATCAGAGTAAAACTTTAAATTAAATTTTCTATGAAAAAAAGTCCCATTTTATATATATTATTTTAATAATAATTGTAATAAAATAAAAATAATCTTCCAACTAAAACCACAAAAACACAACTAAGTCCCCATCTCGTAAACATTAAACGAATACTCTTCGTATATCTTAATGATGGTTAACTTTCTTTATTACAATAAAAAAAAAAAGAAATAATTCATAAAATAAAGCAATTCTTTCTATACAATTTAACCAAAAATGGTAGCGCTTGACAAAGCATAATAACTAAGCCCTTGCATAGCATAATAATTTTTGTCAGTCACATAGATCAGGTTTGGAGTTGTAGCCTTGTTCACTAAAGCTCACCTAAGCACAAATAATGTGGTATCACGGATGTGACACTGTCATATGGCAGAGCTGAAGAATCTCCATAAACGTAAAAGTCCCAAATGTCTAGTACTCGAGCAGTGTACATTCTAGAAGGCACGATTTTTCCATTCAAATATAATGGAAACCACCTGATAAATATATAAACTTACTGCCTTACTTTATGCCCCTTACTTTAAAGAATGGTAGCTCTGTCAGGTCAGTTTAAAAAAAGAGTTTACAAAAGATTTCAAATCTTATACTAGCCAATGATAGGCCCTCCCATGAGAGGTATAGTTGGTTTTTCTTTTACTCTAACTATCATGTGTTTCATTAGTTCCATTTTAATCGAAACAGCTGACTAGCACAAATTATATCCAATTTGTCAAGGTGAGTCTTCTGATCTGATAAGAATCTTCTTCATCACAGAGGTAAAAACTCTTGACTTTCGCATATGATAAGATGATTTGCCGTCTCCATTTAAACAAACACCAATCAAACGAATTAAAATTCGTTTGATTACATAGGAGTCCAAAATTAACGACAAGAAATTTCCCACATACATTTACCTATATATTTCAAACACAAAACCTATCTTACAGAATAAAACTAAGGCACTCAATCAGTTGGTCTAAGCCCGTTCTCTTCACCGTAGAGGGAAATAGATCTAAACGTTTATTATCTATGCTTGCGCACTCCATCTTCGGTATATGCTTTTCTTTGTTGTTATTTGGAGAGAACCTCCTTTGTTATAGAGATTAGAATATTCCTCAGGTAAGTCATGCTTATCGTAAAAGGCGATTAGAATCCATTAGCAAGGCGAAAATTTTCACATATGACACCCTACCAGAGTTGAAATCTGGTTCAATAAGATAATGGTGTTCGCTACTGTAGTTGTTCTGGGCCCGATTTTGGCTCCGAAAGAGAATGTCAGAATGATTGTGATTGACACCAAAAGGAAGAGACTTTACGCAGGAAGAGATTTTCAGTTCATGTTGCATTTCTTGAATCGGGGAGTGTGATACAAAGAATAGCAAAGGTTGGGCTTCTTAATGGAATATCATGATGATTGGGGTTGAAACCAAAAGTTACGCAGGAAGAGTATTAACTTTCACTTAACGTTGCATTTCTTCAACTGAGGGCTGTGATTCAGCAGAGTTTTCGAAGAGCTTCGCTTTGATGATTTTATATTTTTTCACATTTTCAATTTATCGTGAAAGGATGTGATATTAATAATGGAATGTACTCTCTCTATTAGTCGTTTTTATAAAGTTTTATGTTGTTGTGTAGTCCTACAAATATGGTTTCGTCTTTTGCGATACTATTAATTTTGGATCTTTTTAGATAATTAATTTTTGTGACTACTACATAGAATTTTGCTTTCATATATCTGGATGTTATGTTGAAAAATCATCCTTGAAATCACTCAGTTTCAGCTACCCATTGGAAGGAGAGTTTAATGCATTCAATATTTTCCTTGAAGATGAAAAAAAAAATTATAATAATAAAGTAAAATAATTGTGTTCGTCATAACTCCATTCAAAAATATTTAACATTCAGTTACCAGGAGATGAAACTACAACTCATGGGCGACAACTGAACTGTATTGGGTAACATCTAATGAAAAGTAAGAACATTCTTATTCTTTTTAATTAAATGCAGGCCTACTTTTCTAGAAGTTAGCATTTTATCGCTAAATACCGGAAAATTTAGTTTTAAGAATTGTTCTCGTTTCAGAAAACTATGCCGATATATGTACCTGTGCAGACGGTGAGGTGCGTACCAACCAGTGAATGTATCTGCGTTATCACGTATTGGTGCAATTGGTCGTATCTTGTGTCAACTTAATTTATGCCTTATTGTGTGTGGTTGTTTGTGGTCGGTTTTCAACTTAATTTTTCTTCTTTTGTTTTAATAAAGATTTTTTTGTTTTTGTATTTGTATTTGTTTTTGTTTTTGTTTTCAATATAAGTTTCTGTAAAGCTGTTTATTTTTTCTGCTTTTTCTTCTTAGTTTGTTGGTTTTTGTTTGACTTTACAATTGTTGTTATCATTGATTGTCAATAAGCATAAATTTGCACCAGAGGGGGTCTAACCATATTCGCGTAAAAGAATTTACTTCGCTGCTTAGTAAGCGAACTTTTATGAGGAATTTTAACGTTTCAAATAAGCCATCTTCAATGACTATCCAGACTCTAGTAGAGATGTATCCGCAGCTTGGCCTGGCTAGCCTCTGCATCACTTGACTTGGCGTGGCTATTTTTAGTATTGAATTGGCTGTGAGGCAAGTTTCTCAATATTGTGTTGATTTAATTTTAACAGGTATTTCTTGGAGTTTTTGTTCAGTTTTCGCTTTTTTGCATTTTTTATTTAAGTTTTTGTTGTTTGCCTTTGTTTTAAGTTTTAAGTTTATTTTTTTCTTTTCTTTATAATTTTCAGTTTTTTTTTTCTTTTATCTTTTCGTTCTGGTACTATGATATCCCATACCATGCATAATTATATCCAATCTAAAGTTTGTAACCAAATATGCGTAGGCTGAGTATTAAAAAAATGTGAAACGTTTAGAATCAACTACACAGATTGCAAATAATATATATATATATATATATATATAGGCATGAATATATATATTATATAAAAATATATTATTAAAGATATAATCATTGATTTGTATATTTTATGGGCATTTATAAAATTACGAGAAATTTATTTTCAAGTAAAGGCACGTAAGCACATTTAAATACAATTATAAAGATTTCCAGATTAAATGATTGCAGCATCAATGCTGCTTTCAATGCTGCTTTCAATGCTGCTTTCAATGCTGCTTTCAATGCTGCACTGCAATTAATGGATTGAAAAAGTGAGTACCATTAGCTCTTATGGGGGTAATATTGAATATAGTAATGTTTAGTGGTGAGGTAGTTGTGACTACACCTAGACTACATAAAGTGATCATATAGATTTCGCAAAGTCTTTTTGTTTAGTTTTAGAAAATTTAATAGATTTAATGGAATTTAATGCCCTATAGAAAATGATATCTTTTTATGAAGTACATAAATTAACAAATATTTTTATGTCACTCCTAGACTCACTTTTAGTGCAATTTTCATTTTCGATTGGTGAATCTCGAGCGAAGTGTGTAACACTCAATATAAATTTATAACAGTCTAGACATATAGACATATTAACTTGGCAAATAAAGGTTAATTCGATATTTAAATATAAATGTTCATTATCTCAACTTATTGGGTTTTATCATCTACCTTTGCATTATTTATATACTGTGCTTTGGACAATTGCGTCTTGCTCTCATGTGCTACTATACTAAAACCTTCACCAACTTTCTCTACTTATTGTAAAAAACTACCTGCCAGAGCTGTAAATTGCCTATGCATAATAATAGTTACAATTCGGAATATCATTGCATTCAAATACTAGATATAACTAAATTTTATATCTTAATGTTCAAAATAGTATAATATTGTTGGGCGACGTTTTTAATTTTTAAGACTCTCAAACTAGCCAATCTTTAAACAGCTTTCGAAAGAGAATTTTCCCAAACAGTTTTGGTACATAATAGTATTATCATTTACGGTCTCTAATAAAAGCTCGCTATCTAAGTAATAGAGGAACATCACAATACAACAATACAACAACAACAACAAATGCATTTCAAGTAGTTTGTTGTTGGCAGTTCAATGGCCTCGAAATGGTGAATACCCATCATTTGTTTCTCTAATACAAAATTGAGAATGTCTCAATCAATCTCCATATCTCAATAATTTCGTTATCTGTTTATAGAGGGCAACTGTATCTTAGATAACCTAATTAAGAAATAAAGCTATCACTTGAACTCTTTTAGATTGGTGCTTCTTTAATCACTTTCTAAAACTGACATACGTATGTTTTGTCAGAAATTTCTTCTTAAGAAAATATATGACAAAATAAATCAAGAAAGAACATGTTTACATTTGAAATTGATTTGGCCAAAGCAGTTAAAGGTCTTACAGTAATCGAAACACTTCATAAATGGGTGTGCAGAAGCTGGGGCGATAAGGCGGAACAAAAAAAACCACTAAAATCTTCACTGAATGACAGGGAATTTCGGTGATTGCTCAACTTTGGCCTGAGTCAAAAGAAGGAATTGGACAGTTATCGATAATATCAAAAACTCTTTAATGACGAACGTTCTGGTCTTCATTCATGAATTCTGAAGAAGAATATTTTTAGTGAACTTTTGTCCCCATCTAATATCAAAAACTTTTTAATGACGAACGTTCTGGTCTTCATTCATGAATTCTGAAGAAGAATATCTTTAGTGAACTTCTGTCTCGATCTAATACCAAAAACTCTTTAATGACGAACAGTCTGGTCTTCATTCATGAATTCTGAAGAAGAATATCTTTAGCGAACTTCTGTCCCCATCTAATATCAAAAACTCTTTAATTACGAACGTTCTGGCTTTCATTCATGAATTCTGAAGAAGAATATCTTTAGTGAATTTCTGTCTCGATCTAATACCAAAAACTCTTTAATGACGAACATTCTGGTCTTCATTCATTAAGTCTGAAGAAGAATATCTTCTGATTGGCTAGGGACAATTAGACTACAAAAGATCTGTAAGTTACAGTGGGTCGTTTTAAAAATGAACCCAGTTATCTGGTTTATATCTTTTCATTTAAATAAAATTTAAAAATCTTTTTTTGTTTAAGAACGAACGCAATAGACACTATCAAGGTATTCAAAATTATATATTATAAATGTAGTATATTAAATTCACGTGATATGATTGATTATCATATAATATAATATAAAAACACTCATATATGCAACTTTCTCCTTGAACTTTCAAATAAGATAGATTCAATTAAAATAAAACTTAAATGTTTATTTAATTATAATTATTTAAAAAAAATATAAATTTTTTTCTTTAATAAAATTGATATGTGAAAAAAGTGTCCACTCACCCAACTGTCGTGATGAGACCGCTCTTATTGTCAATAGCGAACAGCCACTGTGTCTCATTAGCCAGAGAATAGACTAAACGCGCATTAATGCCAAGATCCGCGTCAGTTGCTTTGATGCGCAAAACGCTGGCACCAACCGGCATATCCTCGGCTATGTTAACCACATACTTTGTTTGCTCGAAACGCGGATCATTGTCATTTTGATCCTCGACAATTATCGTGATATTACAATGTCCCTGATAGCTGATTGGTGAGCCACGATCTTGCGCTTGAATCTGCAGCAAGTAACGTGAATGCTGTTCACGATCTAATGAGCGCGCAGTCAATTTACCAGAGTGCATATCAATGCTGAATTTGTTGCCGAGGTTACCACCTAAAACAAATAATTGCATATAATTTTTTTTTTACATTTTAATTACTATAATTTATTTTATTAATGAAAAGTAAAATTAAAATTATTTGCTATAAATTTATTGTTGGAATTTTTTTTTGTCGAAAGAAATAAATAGTTTTGTAGAAATTTTTACCTGATATGCTGTAAATAATTTCACCATTTGCACCTTCATCAGGATCTGTGGCAATAACAGTGTGTATAACAGCCAAATCACTATTTTCTGGTACCGAAAGTGAATAACATGAACCGGGGCGAAATTCGGGCGCATGATCATTAACGTCATTGATCGTAATGATAATCGTTGCAATGTCAAATTGTCCATTTACTGCTGCTGTTGTTGCAGATGCGGTAATTGAATCTGATCCAGCAGTTGCTGTAGTTGCTGCTGTTGATGTTGATGTTGATGTGGATGTGGATGTTGAGCCAGAGACTGCATCATTATCTAGCGATGAGCGTTGCTTCCGTCCCATTGCTGCAACAGCAGCTCGATTGCTATCGTATACGTAAATCGGTATCGTATAGCGGGCTTTTGTTTCGCGATCAAATTGCCCGCGTGTGGTGACAATTCCACGTTGTGCGTCAACTTGAAAGTGATTCTCGGCGACACCTGTTGGTATCTCATATGTGAGATTTGCTATTAAGAGATAGAAAAGATGAAAAGAAGATTAATACATCACTTTGATAATTAACATAATTGGTATGTAAGAAGTTAATATATACTATACATAACGGATGAAACAAATATATAAGAGAGAATGAGTTTGTTTCTTAAAGTACCATTTATCTATGCTGAAAGGAAACAGAAGTGTAAAGAAGTATTTATGTAATATGACAAATTATCATAATGGGAACCAACGTTATATAGATTATTACACCTTTTCTTTTTATAACAAAATAAAAAAGAAATAAGAATGGGAGTGAGAGAAAGATAAGGATATATTTCTATTTATGAAAACAATTTTAAAATAATAGAAAAAATTAATATACTTCAAACGACAAGCATCGACATATATATGTACATACTCGTATTGGTATCTTATGTGTTATCTTAAGTGTTCTACAGTAAGGGGCTAATGGTTCTGATACAAAAATTGTAAAAGATTGTTGAAAAAAATTTGAAAACATTATAATTTAAGTGAAAGTTAATTAAAGGTCAAAATATACACCTGGACACTCAGTCAGCAAACCAATCCTGAAACGGGAAGAACTAGCTTAGAAAATATTTAAAGAGGAAAACAAAATGGGAAAATAGAAAATTTCTTTGAATTTCTGAAATATCTCAATAAATCCAACAAGAAATAGTAAAGAGAAAGTATCATTTTCAGGTCATTATAATCTAACAATGTTTTTACAAATTGTAAGGAAGGATCCTATATTGGCTACATACTTAGCACTAGACTGACATGTCACATCTGTATAACATACATAATTGCTAAATGATATCCACATGTTTTGCCCACTTTGATGATGTCAATTAGTATCCTAATATCTTTTGACCTTAAATGTAAGAGATATTTTGTCAATTTTTTATCAGAATCTTTCACAACACTTTGCGTTGCTTTGTAAATTTTTCTCATGAACCAACTTTTTCGTGGATAAAGTCTTTAACTGCGAATTATTTTTCCTAACTCTAAAAAATTCTTTGCTTCCAGTAATTATATTATAACAATGAAAAAAAAAATTAATATTAAATAAAAAAATGTGCGAAATGAAAACTCCGTAAAAAAGGATTTAAAAATGAATCGGTATCTGTAAAAATTAATATTCAGGATGTCAGACGGAAAAATAAGAAAGCTTAAATTTTTTTCTTTTGACTGTAGGTCTTTATAATAGAAGACAAAAAAGTGAGTCGTGACAAACAAATATTATTTTTTTAATAAGCTCAAAATGTATCCAACTATAATCGAATATGACAGCGAAGATACTTTTATCCATATAGGTACATATATATAAACTAATGTGAACAGAAGAACTGACATGAAAAGGAAAAGATCGAATTAATCAGGAACTCTTAAGCTGTTAGCAGGAATTTTAAAACAATTACGTTGAAACACTTATGACAATATACGCCGAAATAAGGACATCAATTATTGTATTAAGTATTAAAAATCATAAACATAAGCTCATTAAATATTATTCATTTTCATAAAAAAACTTGCACAAAATCGTCGAATATGTCTTTATATTTATTCTTTTGAAGTATTATTTGAATTTTTGTAACTTTTTTAGGTTTTAATTTTTGTAGTTGCTTAATAAAAAAACATGGTTGAAATTCTTCAATTATTACTAACAATTATTTATTCATTATGACTTTTTATAGTTTACGTTTTTAAAATTAAAAAATCAGAGATAAGTTCAAGGCGTACCACATTCTTCTTTCGAAGTCTTTTCAAAATTCTCTAAAAATTCTCTAAAAACCATAGCACTACACACGGCAGATATGTCCTAATATAAATTATTTAAAACTTCTGAATTTAATATCAAATCAAAATATCATTTAATGTTATATATTTATATTACCCAGTACATTGACTTATGTTAATTGAACTATTTAATATATGGTAAAACCTCAGTTTTACAACATTACCTTGTTAAAAAAAAGAATGTATGTCTCGTTATATAAGATAGAATACAAAAGTATAGTTTACTCCTACTATCTGAAAATTTTACTATCTGCTATAATTCATCCGCACGAATGACATGCTAAGAGATCTTAGAATAGATCCGGTCAAAAAATACATAAGAGACATACCTCTGAAACTATATGCGAAAACCGACAGAATGTCCTACTTAGCACTCTTTAATCTCAGAGTAATCACTAACCGCACGGGGCGGTACGCAGATCTTAGATCAATCATTGAATAATCACGAAGATTATGAGGAATACTCAAATTAGTCAGTGAGTTGGTTGGGACTCTGCAGAAACTCTCCAGCCATCATAGAGTAAAAGTGCCCAGATGCATTAACTTGGAAAAGGCTCAACATAATAACAATAATAGTTCAGTTTTAATAGATGCAATACTACTACAGAAAGTAACTGTTGTTACTGGATCCATAATTTATAGAGAGATGACTTTTCATAGTAATATAGCGCTAAGGTTGCTTAAGCATTAAGCATGAGACGATATTTTTGTGCAACTGTCTTTAAAAGATTAAAATTTCTAATATAACATAAGATAAGCTGTATGCAATACTCTTGCTTTAGACCAGAAACAGCATTTCAAGCTACGGGTACTGTGCTCCATATGCTATATTTTTTATTTAGTATGTAATATATCTTAATAATATTATTAAATTTCTATTGTATGAGTTTTTTACACTATCTTAAACCATTTTTAGTTATAACAATTCACTTAAGTTCTAAAGTTCTCTCTTGAGCAAAAAGATAATGATACTACTAGTCACTTTGACACATTGATAATACAAATCTGACTATTTCTTCTTTTAATCTTTCTCTGAGTGTTATTTATATTAGACTTATCAATATATTATATTGATATATATTTATATATATAAATATGTATATATATATATGTGGCTGCAAGGCGATATATTTATATGGTCTCATAGCTATATAACTGGTTATGGATGCATGATGGTATCAGAGCTCTAATGTATTGATTTCAACCGGTGACTGGAGATTAGCACACGAAAATAAAATTAGGTGAGATGTAATAATAATTTCTATTATTTTTTTATAATTACTTACCATTGTCACCACTGTTGAAGGATTTTGCAACAACTTGCGTAACAAAACTGCCGGATTGTGCATTCTCAGAAATGTTCGCATAGTAGGTGACTTGCAAAAAACGCGGCGGATTACTTGTAGTCCCTTGCACTAATAATTGTAGGTTTAGTAGCGATTGTCTGGGTGCTGGACTGCCGTTATCGCTAGCGCTGATAACCAAATTATAAACATTTTGATTAAAATGCGTATGAGCATGTGTTGGATCAGCCGTAGTTGCCACACCATTTGCACTATGCGCAATAGGTGGCAATGATTTGGCCAACTCAATGTAACCAGTTAAGCTGTTTATGCGAAAGCGTCCATTCTCATTACCGCTAACAATTGCGTACTCGATGCGGCCATTATCGCCGGAGTCCTTGTCAATGGCAACAATGTGTGTAATAGTTTCACCAATTCGCACAGCATCACTTAAATAAACAGTAGCCGATGGCATCGAAGCTGTAGCTGCATTGCTATTTTGTGCTGCTGTTGGTGATACAAATTGCGGCTCATTGTCGTTCGTATCGACAACTTTCAGCACCGCCGTCACTGTGGTCAATAAACGTTCAGTAATGTTGGAAGATTGATCGAGTGCCTGCACGATGAGCATATACTCATTGATTGTTTCATAATCCAAAGGTGCGAGCAATGTTAATGTGCCAGTAAGTGCGTCCACAGCAAAAAGTAGTGTCGCTTTTGCATGCTTTTCAGTGACTGATGTTGTTGCTGTTGATGTTGATGTTAGTGTTGCTGCTGCTGCTGCTGCTGATGTTGATGTTGATGATGTTGTTGATGAAGTATCACCGGCAGCCGCACTTATGGGTGTGTAACGTAACAGCTTGTACTGCAATTCACCGTTTGTACCGGTGTCCGCGTCGGTGGCTGTAAAATTATAAATTATTGTACCCGGTTCGGTGTCTTCGCTGACATTTATAATAATCGGATCGATAGCCCATTTGGGCGCATTGTCATTTACATCAGCAATTTCAACTTTTACTGTTATTGCACTACTTTGTGGATTATTACTGGCGCTGGTGTCCAGTGCACGTACCTCCAAACGATATTCGGCTTGCAGTTCGCGATCCAACTTTCTTGCGACCACTAATGAACCAGTATGACGATCAATATCGAATGCACCTTCAATACTGTCTTTTGTTAGCGATGTCAGTGTATAGGTTATATGCAGATTTTCATCATTAGTGATGACATTTGCTTGTTCTATGCGTTCGTTCGGTCCTATCGAGCCAACAATATGACCTACATTTACATCTTCACGCACCTGAAATTATACAAAAAAAAAGAGAGAAACAAAAAAGAAATTATTCCTTTTCCAGTGCAAATATAATATAAAAATATGCAAAAGTAAAAGTTACTTTTAAAGCAGTGTCGCTTCATACAAAAGAAACATAAATAAAATTTGTCATAATTTCATTTATAATTTATTGTTTTATTTATTTTTGGTGGTAATTTAAGACTTTTAAATAAAATAAATTCATGAATAATTTTTCCGTACACAAACAAATTATGCACCACCCCGTGATAGGCAATTTGATAAAAACCTCAATCTCATGTGTAAAGAATTTCACCGTCTGATGACTTACTCACATTTCGGGCCGAAAACTCATCGGATGCGTAACCGCTTTTTAATCTCAACAACAGTGTTGAAAATCCAATCTTAAAGCAATAATTCATTCATGAAGATTAAGGCAGCAGATCAACGTACCCAAACGTATTCAAAACGCATATGAGGTTTCTGGCAAATTTTACGCCTTTTATTTTTAATATTTTAGTTGTTGGTATTTTCTTATGCTACTTATGATTGTTCAAGCAAATACAATAATAAATCCCTAACGAAATTCATAATCTCCAGAAATGAGAAACGCATAAAATTGCCAAAAATAAAGCACTACCAAGAATAATCAGGCAAGCTGAGGAAAACAGCAATTGGAACAGAAGCAGCAACCAACCACAAATACCGGACCAAAAGTGGCAGCAACATTAAAAAGAAATTATGCATTCCTACCAACTTAGCAGCTCGAGAGCCATGAAGATATAAATTTGTGATATTTATGAATATGAATGCATTAAATGCATGGTGCCTTTACTTAGTACCTATATATAACTTTATCTTCACATAAGTAAACAAATTTAACATGCAAAGCTGCAGAGCTCCATTGCAATTCGTAGTGCCGCCAATGATTTTTGGCAGTGCCATTATTTCGATGCTGTGGAAAGTGCTCTTGAGATGTGACAACATGCTATACATATGGATATGGATTATCCGCGACATATTTATCTTGTCTAAAAAAAATTATTATTGAATATGTCAATTAAAAGTTTTAAAACTTAAAAAATTCGAACTTAATTTGTTGTAAACTCCTTATCCAAAATATAAAAAATATAAAAAATAGACAGTAGGAATTACTAATAAAGAACTGTCAAAATAATGGTATACAATTTCTCTCTACATCTTCCTGTTTTCCAAAACTACAGGTTATAGCACTTAAGCATGTCGAAAATCTATTCGAATTACAGATGTTTTATGATACGAAATATGCACTGTAACGCCTTGAAGGTAAAGGGAACGAAGATATACTGTAGTAGGTGGATTGATGATTACTTGACTTCACAACAAGTGGTAACGCCAGCACAAAATCAATTTTATTTTGTATATCTGGCAAATTTTAAACGACAAACTGTAAAAGTTTCGACTTTATCAGATGTTTGGTTAGGTTTAGCTTTTTGTAATAATTGAAATAGTGCACCTTGGTGGTTTCTTATAAAATAGAAAAAATTGAATATCGTTCAGTAAAAAAATTTCTCTATTTCCTCGAGGAAATGAACAATAATGCAATCAAATTGGAAATGGATTCTGTATACGGCAATCTACCACCATCTTTAACAACGATAAAAAATTAGAAAGTTGAAATTAAAAGTGCTTTTGATGAAGAGCTTCCGGGTCGTCTTAAAAAAGTCACAACTGATACACATTGAGAACATCCCTGATATTGTGTTGTATGATCCAAAAATTAAATTGCGTGAAATAGCAGAGATGACAAACATATCATATGAACGTGTATCGAATATTTTACATAAATATTTGGGTATGAAAAAGCTTTAGGCAAGAACTCGGTGCCGTATTTGCTTACAAATACCTACAAACGACTACGTTTTGAAATATTTATGCATAATCTAGCTGACAGTAAGCGAGTAGAGTTGCGTAGTGACAATTGGTAAAACATGAATCCATTATTTCACACCTGAGCGAAAACAAGATGCCAGAGAATGGATAGAGCCCATTCACCGAGGATAATGCTCCTAAACGTCCACAAACTCAACAATCCGCTGGTAATAATTTAGCTTCGGTATTTCGGGGTTCACATAGAATAGTTATCATAGACTTTTTGAAACAAAGAAAAAATAACAGCAGACTATTATTGCATATTATTGGATTGATTGAATGAGGAAATTAAAAAAACGAAGAAAAATTTTTTTGTTTTTACAAGATAACACACCCGTTCACATGTTAATGAAAGTCATGATAAAATTAAATGAAATACGGTACGAATTGCTTTCTCACCCACCGTAATCTCCAGAGTTGGCTCTCAGTGACTATTACTAACTTTCCTAACTTGAAAAGATGGCTCCAGGAAAAGACTCTTGCATCAAATGATGAAGTGGAATCGGAAACTGATATTTCAGAGAACTTAAAACAGAGTGTTATATAGAAGGTATCCAAATGTTGATAGATCGTTGGACTCGGTGTGTCGAGTTAAAAGGGAACTATATTGAAGCACAAAATATAATTTTCTAAAAAATATACCCCTAGTATATACCAGAATATCTACAACGACCTGGAATTGAAATAAGTAATTACAATGCTTTTTTAGAGATCACTGAAAGTCTACCAATATTATGTTAAGTCTGAAGAAAAAATACTCAGATATATAGTGATACGTGAAATATATGCATATATATTATGCAAAAATTGTTATAATTTAATTCATTGTATATTACATGTTTTTAAAACTATAAATTTGTATATATACTAAGTATATTTCCAGTGGCATTTAAAAAATGAGTATATAAGGTGTGTGGCTTTATAGATAGTGTTGTTGGCTTTCTATTGATGCACAAGATACTCCTTTTTAAGGTCTTGTTCGTAAAACACAAAAATTGATATATTCCGTAGTCCGTAGTTCGCAAAAGTTAAATTCTTCTAACTTTGGTAGTGAGTCTCTTATTGGACGTCTTATAAATTAATTGCATTGCGGTTATTCGTATTAAAAATTGTGGTAAGCCCTTAACGGTGCATATGGCCGACTATAATTTCTTATTTATTGCTGATTTATATTCTCTTATAAAAGATATAATATTCAAAAAAAAAATTGTAAGAAAAAGTAAGTCTTAAAAATTAAGTTGAGAAAAAATTCGCATGTATTTTTCAAACTCAAAATGGAGACACAAAAGTCACAGCAAAAAGATTTATGCAACGAGCCATTCTATTCTTGAGGTCTCTTACTTGTAAGAAGATTTTTGTAATTTTTTCTTGGTCATAATTTTTGAAAAATGTTTTTATGTAGTCAGAAAATTTTTTTCTTACTCGCTATCTTGTATTTCACCAACTTTGTTGTTATTTTTTCGGTTTTCTTCTGGGTTTTGTTATTGCTGTCGGAGTTTGTACTGATATTGTTTCAGAAGACTACAAACTGCTTCATATACCTACTACTACTATATTTCCTTTACATTTTGTTGGTGATGTTTTTTATATTTTTTAGTGTTCATTAAAAATTATCATAACATATGAAATGAATGCCGTATTGAGCTGCCAAACGATTCGTACTTCGCTTTCAGAAACACACATCGAAAGAACTCAGCTCAGATACTCGTATATAGAAGCGGGAACTAAACAAATTATGCAAAATGTCAGCAGAGCAAAATAAGAAATGTCGCTATAAAAATATCTTCGCAAAGGTTCTAAGGACGAAACGTTTGTTACTCTTCTACTTTGTAATAGAAAGGTAAAATACATATATACACAACACACTGAACCGTATGCAAATTATGTATGCCAGCAGAAAAATACAACAGCCTCATGAAACAACAAAAGTCTTCAAAAGTGAAATATATATATATATACATATATGTTAGAATCAGAAAACGTAAAGAATTAATGATAAACTAACGCGCCCAATCAAAATAGATTGGGTGCGAATAAGTCAAAATTGAGCACTTCTTTTATTTTGGAAATAATTGAATAACTCTGTATACATTAAAGGAGTGAAAATATACCTTTGGCTTAGTCGTAGCTTAGACGTCTTCTAGACAGAACAATCTATATTTGAATTTATATTTTGGTCTCATATCTATTGGAAGAACTGTTAAAAGCCATACAAGCTACAGCATGCAATGTCTTATCAACTAAAAATCCAACATATTGGCCAACTGACCTACCGAAAAAACCGAATCTGATTGATACCGATAAAATTTTTAAACATAGAAAATGAATACTAACTCTCCTCAGATTATTCATTTCTGCACCTCTCTATTAATGAGAGTGCAATCATAATTCAGCCAAAGCCCTACTTAATAAATAGATCTACTAACTGGAATTACTTCACGCTACACCTTGAAAACACTCTTAATCTTAACTCAGATCTAAACTCTGCGACTAGAGTAGATGATGAAGGTCTTCTATTTACACAGCTGATTTAGAAATCAGCATTGATGAATACTTCTCAGTTCTCTTAACATCAGGTTAGACGAACCCTTCTAAAAGAAATTGATAAACTTATATGGGAAAAAAAGGAAATAGTATAAAAAAAAATGGCAACAAACTCGATCACTTATTAATTTATTAATAATGTTAAAAACGATAAGACACAACAAAATTTTAGAAGCCCTTCCTATGATAAGCGTACAGATTACTTATTGTGGAAACCCTTTAAAACCGTAAAACAAACAATAAAGTATAATTCTATTAAAGCAGATGATACAGCATGCAGGGGCCTTGCAAAAAGTTACCGACTGTGGATTCAAAGTACTTAATAAATGTATTGAACAATTTGGTTTCATATATGGCATTAATCATATCCGAAGTATATCCGAATGTTTATATAGTAACCAGAATCATGTTCAGTTTCAGTCAGTACAGCGTGTGCGGAAAGAAGCTCCTCAAACTTAAAATTGATTAAGACATATTTGAGAAGTATGATGATCTAAAAGAGACTATCTCCATTGGCAAGTCTATAAACTGTATCGAAAATAGTATCTGGTGCA